CTGTATTTCGTCCAGTTTATAGATTTTATTTGGCTACAGTGAAGTGTGCTTCCATGCCATACTCCAGTTTTGGTCGTACGTATCCTGTGTATACTTGTCTTACAGTGTTGGCATCTGCACCCCAACTTGTTCCAGTAAGTTTCTTCACAAGTGTGAGCAGCAGGGTAGCTTTCTTTTGGGTGTGTTCAATATGGAGGCCCGAGGTTAGCCTTTTGTAAAATTTTATTCTCAAATTTATAGGGATTTCCTCTTTTGGAAGGATGTTGTCTTCTAGGTACTGATCAACTTGTTCTAGATTTGTGGGGAAAAAAAAGAGAGTTAAAATGTTTTGGTCTGGTTTATTGTGACTTCCCAAAAGTTTGTTTATTTTTTACTGTATTTATAGCTTCCTGCATTCTTGTTGTAGTTGTTCCTAGATGTTCAGCTTGGGTCATTTGCATGTAGGGCCTTGTGAATGTGATTCGTAAACTGTTTTGGGAGGTCATTGATGAAACGATTGAATAGGGAAAGAGATATAACACCTCCCTGAAGGACACCTTTTTGTAACCTGTCTAGCAAGCTGTTAACTTCATCTATCAATTTAACTAGATCTGTCCATTTGTTCCTCTGTCCCTTGACGTTTCCATTCTCATGTTGTATGTTCTTGCAACCGGTGACGCTGGGTTCATTCTGACCAGGTGGCCAAACCAATTCAGTCTTTCGTTTTTTATTGTAACATCAGCGCCGGAAAATGGAGGATCTCTTGAGCCCCTCCACACACAACCCATCCCCCCCCCCTTTTTTTTCTTATTTGTTTCCTATTTCTCGCCGGTGCCATGTGGCATTGTAATTGTGTCAACCTAATCTTCCAAGTCATGTTCTGCCTATCATTTACGATGCAAATATTGTTCCGTGCTTTGATGCTAAGCTGATTAAACGGATCATTTTTCTTTGTATCCCATGGCTCTCCTTGCTTAAAGCTTGTCTGTTCAGGATGTACTCCACAAGACATGTTCACGATGGTGTTTAATTTTCCTGAGGTGATTTCATCATACTTTTATTCAACTATTTGTGTTTCTAATATGTATATATATATATATATATCTTCTTCTTTGCGTTCACCAGCTGTAAACACTGGTAGAAAGTTCTGGTTGTTCGTCCACTCCTGGACTGTAGTCCTGTTCCAGAACCAGAGTATTGCGTGTGCATCCGTTTGACATATCTGACACATGTATGTGCAGACTGTTGGTTCCTTGCCTCTCAGGCAGATGCACTCGGACTTCGAATAAAGCTTCCAATTAGCCGACTCATAGGGCATGATTTTGGGTAGGCAGTGGTTCTTTTCTTTTTTTTTTTTTCTTTAATAGGGCCCCGTAACCTTCACGGGGTATATATATATCATTGTCTGCTCAGATATAGAGATAGTCTTTGATCCCCGCCCACCACCACAACTAAATCCACCTACTACTATCTCCCTCATCAAAGGTTTTTGGAAAAGAAAGACAATGGAAATCGCACGTGTCTAATACAGTTAATGTCGCAATCATTCTCTGCACGGATATAGCGATAGTCTGGTTTTCCAACTTTAGAACACACACCTTATAATTGTGTTTTTATATTAGTGGTCGTTTAAATGGTGTTATTAGCACAGTAACAAAAATGGTTATTTGGTTATCACATGCTAAAGCTGTTTGTATTTTTATAGGGGACGGAAGTAAAGCTACAACTGTACTTGTGAATAACAAAGTAAGTCGTAAAAAATAGAAATTCGGAGGTAGCGTTAGTAAAATATAAACAAATTAGGCAAATGAGAACTTGAAAATCAAGTGTAAAGCTCTTTAATTTCTCTTAAATTTAAGTCATTATCCCCTCCTCTCTTCCACCGACTACTGCTCTCTCCCTCTTCGAAGGATTTGAAAATCACTAACTGGCGATATTTTGTTGTTGCTGTAACTGACATTGACATCCCTGTCCATCTGGACTAAAATAGGGAGCAGGAATTGTAAAAGGTAGTGAATAGGGCTAGTGTAATATTTACCACATCATCCTTCAAGTACCAGTACAACTACTAAAATATTGTCACTGCTATCTGTGTTACCATCGGAGTAGACAGAGAGTCGTGAGCCAGAAGATTTGGTTCCGCATGGCTAGTGCTGTCGCCACAGACTGGTCAGGTTAGGATGTATAATTTCACTTGCCGACAGAAGAACGCCATAACCTTACCGGCGGTCTTCACATGAGAGCACTATGGTGTAACAGCCCTGGTGTAACAACTATTACTGCTGCTGCTACTTTAAGTGGGTAAAGCAGTTACTGTGACTTAAAGCTCTCTCAGTTAATAGTTTGCCCCCCCCCCCCCCTCCCCCCAAATTCACCGACAACTCTTTCCCTCATTGAAGTAGTTGGGAGGGGGAAAAAAAACACTTGAAAAGCAAACGAACACAGGAAAAAAACACCATAATTAGGAAATGAACGCCATTGTAAACAGCACAGCCTAAAATTCCAACACAGATGAAATAACTAAATCTAAATGAAAATAAATGAAAATCTATAAAATTTCAGCGTAACCATGCAATCGGAAAGTTTAACAATGCAATCATAAGTATGCGAAATGGTCAAATTTAATTATCAAATGGTTTACCCATTTACTTGTTTTTTTTTGTTTGTTTTTTTAAATATTAAGGCAACATGGCTAGTGCTATCACCACGGCAGAGCAGATGAGGATATTATTTTAGTCCGGTCCAAAAAAAAAAAAAATTTAACGACTGCGGATTCGAACCCAGGTCTACCGCACATGAACTCAGTGTTCTAACCATTCGACCAAGCAGCCACTTAATCGGAACAACGAAAAGAGAACTCAACTATTAGACATGTGAGTCCATACTACTGTGTCGCGATTAAAACACAATTTAAAACCGCAGGCAATTGTTTTCTCGTAGACAGATACTCCAGATATAGTAATGAAATAGAAATCGCACGTGTCTAACACGGTTAATGAAGTTAATGTCGCAGTCACTGTCTGCGCCGACGTCGAGATAGTCCTTGATCCCCCCCCCCCCCCCCCCCCCCCATCGAAGATTGTTTGTTGAAAAAAAAAACAGAAAATAGAAATCGTGTTTAATATGGTTATTGTGGCAAATATAGAGATAGTCTTGTTTGCTGTACCACGACCTACTCTATGTATTAGTATTAGAGAAGGCGTTGGCTGCACGTAACTCGCCGGCGAATGGTAAATACGGCGCATGCGCAATTACTAACGTGGCTATAATTAGAAATCACTAAAGTTATAAATATTAGTTGCGTATATTTTGGCATAAATTGTGGTCACCTATCTCTAACAGTGACAGGTTGAATTTCAAATCACGACAGTTCAAAATCCGGTATCACAACAAACATATTCTGAAAATGTCAGCTAAATCGGTTCAGTAGTTTCCGAGTCTTTAGGGGTGAAACAAACACACAAATATTGATTTATATATATATAAATATATATATATATATATATATATATATATATATATATATATATATATATATATATATATATATATATATATACGGAGCCTTGATTACTTATCCACGTGCATATTTAAGGCTAGTTCACGGACATGATCCGAAACTGGTAATCATGTGAGATGGCTGTCTATGACTGCCAGCACTTAACAACATGGTACATGATGATGTTGACATGGAGACCCAATATAATGTTTGTTAACGCGAGTGACTGCCAAGACAGTTATCAATCTCCATGTGTGATAAGATTAACTTTTTTAACCAAAATGATTTTATGAAAATACAAGGAACTAGCTATTTTATTGTTTGTTAACGCGAGTGACTGCCAAGACAGTTATCAATCTCCATGTGTGATAAGATTAACTTTTTTAACCAAAATGATTTTATGAAAATACAAGGAACTAGCTACCCGAATCTTATGATTCCGCGACCTAGAATATATGACACTTAACACAATAAATGTAAATTATGCATGGAATTTTTATATTTGTACATTGATAAAAATATTATATTTTACATTTATATATGTTATTCTTGCATTTATACAAATATTTGACAGTAGGAAGGCCGGTGTGAGCATGTGTGATCGTAGAAGCTAATGATTACACCAGAGAGGGTATTACATATTTTCCTCCTTTTCTCTTTGTTGTAGGGCGTATGCGTGCGCAGCTAGCATCATAGTACTAATAACTGGTCGACTTCACACGATACAGTTTCTACATGATGGGCGCATGCAGCGAGCATTATTTTTGCTGTGCTCGAGATGTAAACTGAGTAGCATATTTGTAATAAATAATAAAATAATGCATTCTTGGGTACAACTCGAGATTCTCACCCCATCTCGTTCGGCTGCGTAATTTCGTTGTGGTACTTATTGGCTGTCCTTTGTCGTAGGGGTGTTGTGATATGTTTTTTTTTTCTGGTGTCTATGCACAGCGTGTCAAAAAGTAACCTGCGTTCGTTCGAAGAAGTCGACACACTGTCTCAGTAACGAAACTGCCGTGCTTTGTTTTTTCGCTACTCAATTATTGTTTTTTTTTTATATTTTTTTTTTTGATTAAATAGCGCCGCTTTTGGTATGTGCTGTTATGATTAGGTCTGAGGTACCGAAGGAGACTATATAAGAAAGAATTAATGCAGGGGAAACGCCGAAGGCGTGATAATTCTCGAGCATCGAATCACTTATTTTTTTTTAACGCTTGTTGGCTGTGGCTGTCGTCAGTGATGGATGCGCTTCAAAGGTTTAAAACAAGCAACACATGACACCTAGAACATAGCACAGCACGTGGGAACCAATATGAAATCAGTTGACCGAGGGAGATAGGGTGAGAAGCGTGAATTGTGCCCATTTTTATTTTGGAGTAGTGTCACCAGCAAATAAAGCCGTTATATGCACTCCTTGCTACTGGTATATTTTAACATATTTGTTTTTACATTATTTATACACATTTTTCAATCCCTCTAAACTTTACAGCATTTTCCCTAAACCCATTTGCTCTGTTCACAGGGCAAATACTTCATCGTGCAGGACTACAACGACGCGGACGATGTCCTCCAAACTCACAAGGAAATCTCTGCCCCGAACTTTCGACAAGCGCTGTCATCCCAGCCAGTGTTTGCGTCAGGCCAGCCAACACTGAAAGGTTTCAACAAGATTCTTGATCGGATTTTCTCTGAGGGTTACTCGGTACGTTCTTCTGTGTCTACGTGTGCGCAGTTTTGTGATTACGTTTCGGCAGCGGTGGGATTACGTTTTGGCAGTTGTGTGACTATGTGTGAAAAACTGTAGTTGCGTTTGTGTGATCACGTGTCAGCAGTTTTGTGGTTTCGTTTTGGCATTTCTGTGACTATGTCTAAGAAACTGTGAGGTTATGTTTATTTGATTGCGTGTAAGCAGTTTTGTGATTACGTTTGAGCAGCTGTGTGATTATGTATTTGCAGTTGTGTGATTAAGTGTGCGCTGTTGTGTGTTTACGTTTGAACAACTGAACTATTACGTTTGAGCAGTTTTTTTTTTTTTTTCAGTTACGTTCAAGTAGTTTTGGGATTACTTTTCAGAAAATGTCTGATTACGTTTGAACACTTTTGTGATTACATTTTAGCACTTGTATGATTACGTTTAAGAAACTGTGTGATAACTTGTAAGCAGTTATGTGATTGCGTTCGAGCAGCTGTGAGATTTTTTAGTGTAAGCAGTTGTTTGATAATGTTGATTCAGCGTTTGTATTATTAAGTTTGAGCAGTTGTGTGTTTATATGCTGTTTAGTGATTACAGATTGGGACGAGACCTCTCAACTGTTTGTATCAATGGCAGAAAGATAGGTTATTCGTTTCACGCTTTCTGGATCTGTAAATCGTGAACAAATAAAGACACATTTTCACAGTTTTCAAGTTGTTTAAATCATGGAAATCCGGTGGCGAATCTGTTATGCTGACTGCTTTGTGCTCTCCATGATGTGAATTCGCCTTCAGAATATGTCATTCTGTTTGGAATACTGTATTCTGTGAATCCGTTGCCTCGTTTCTGGAGCTAGGAGTTCGTGCTGTGCGCAACGTTGTCATGGAAGGCCAGGCGACATTCGCAAAGACAACAAGTGCCCTTCAGTTGATTGCGTCTGCAACTGCTGATCTGTTGGTGACTTCTGCTAGTCACTTGTGCTACCATTCACGATGAACTGCATTTCTAATGTCCGACTGTTTGTGTTAGCACTTCGGATGGCTACAGTATGCTTTGAAGGCGTGTGTATTCTAGCGCATTTGCTGAGACAGAAGTCTGTCAATCTTTCCTCAAAGGACTGTGATTAACGTTTTGTGTGTTTTTCGTTGGCATAGGAGCGGAGCAACTATGGGGTGACCCGTTTGTTATGAAGCTGAAACTAAGATTACCAGATTACCAGAAGTGCCCTTCCGAAAGAGACAACGCGCTCCTGTAAAAAAGACTAGGCCAAATGGGATAAAACCCGATGTCATGAGGTTGATCCTCTCCTTTTTGACCAAATCGCTTTATTATTCTTTACTCCTTCTGGCTTATATATTCTGAAACAATTCACTGCCAACCTGTTCTGAACGGGAAATTGAACAAATCCTGGTTTCAACAAGATGGCGCAACTGCTCACACAACTTTAAAATCTAAAGAAATATTTGATGGCATTTTATGACAGCGAATCTTGGAATGTCAGTGAAAAAATTTGGAAGAATTTGGAAGCAACAGAGATGTGGTTTCTGAGACGAGTGGTACGAATACCTTGGACGGCCATGGTAACTAACCGCGATTGCTTGAAAAAAGCTAATGAAAGTAGATCTCTATATACAACAATAAGAAAGAGACAAACACTAATTTTTTTGCCACATAATGAGAAAAGAGACATTGGAAAACATCATAACAACTGGAAAGTTCAGTGGAAAAAAGGGGTGGAGGAAAACCAAGAGAGATACTGATGGATGGGCTGAAACGATGGCATGAAGGGATATCATCAAGAGAGCTGTTCCAGGCAACCAGGGATCTTGATCTGTGAAGACACATGAGCGCCTACACCAGTTGGCAGGGCACTTGATGATAATGATAATCTATCGCAGAATTTAGCCTCCACGGTCTCCGGAATTTACTCCCCTAGATTTCGACCTCTGAGTACACTTAAAGGAAGTGCTACATGATGATGATGATGATGATGATGATGATAAAATACGTGTTATAGGGAAGAGTGCCTGGCAAATCTGCCAAAGAAGAAGAGTGGTAAGTTAACAAAAAAACATCCAGAGATAACTGGTATGGCCCATCACGGTCTGCCTGAAAGAAACTCGGTCTCTCGCCAGCTCTTCAGCCTCATGTACCTTCATACTTAAGAAGTCCCTTATATCCTGTGCCCATCTTCGTGTTGGTCGGCCCCTGTCCCTCCTTCCTGGTACCATGCCTTCTGCTATTATTTTTTTTTTTTTCATTTTCGGCTTCCATGATAAGTTTCTTGAGATAGTAATGTGGTAGTTTCTCCTTGCTTTCCACATCGACATGGCTTTAGACTACGTCGTCAACCTTCAGAAGAAACCTTTTCGATTGCTAGGGCAAGTCTACATGTGAGATGCAGAAGTACTTGCAACATTTTACAGTTGTCAATGGCAGAACGGTTTGCGATTTGTTACAGGCGTCTTTTGAAGCGGAGATTGTACTAGATTACTGGCAAAGGTTTAAACCGCTCAAGCAATGTTTTACGGCTGTTAACGGCTCCGGGAAATTATATGTCCAATGAGAGTTTTTTTTTTTTTTCCTATCTGAGGTGAATGAATGGGAGGGGAGGCAGCGATTCATCAACAAGACAGGAAATTAAAGGGTTAGGATATGTGTGATCAGGGCCAGTTCCCCATTGATTGGCTCATGCCGAGATATGTTCTCGGCAACGGTGCTTTGAGACGAGTCTAGCCGCTCGACGTATTGAGAGATCAGAGAACTACATATATGTCTGTTAGTGCGTCTATCTGTCTATATGTATGTCCGTCTGTATGTGTCTCTGTGTATATGTCATGTCTGTAAATGTGCGTATGTATTTGAATGTTATGAAAGTGTATATTGTTAGTGTGTTAGCCTTCCTGTGTTAAACGTATTTATGTGTGCGTATTTGAGGATGTACATCTGCCTTACCGTGTGTCTGCCTTGTGTGTAGGTTTTTTTTTTTTTTTTTGTTGCATTTGTAATCAATGCCTTTCTAATTTTGCTTGACAGTCATACTATGAACTTTAAAACATGAACCCAGTATGCTTGGTACAAAATAAAATTGCCGTGTGAACAATGGGTGTTTGAAAGGGTCGATTATGAGACGGGCTTGTGTGCCCAGTTCGTAATACACTGGCTCAAAAAAGGATGTCATACGTTCGTTTGTTAGTTATGTGTGTTTGTATATATTATGTATGAATGTATGTATGTATGTCTGTCTGTCTGTCTGTCTGTCTGTCTGTCTGTCTGTCTGTCTGTCTGTCTGTCTGTCTGTCTGTCTGTCTGTCTGTCTGTCTGTCTGTCTGTCTGTCTGTCTGTCTGTCTGTCTGTCTGTCTGTCTGTCTCTGTCTGTCTGTCTGTCTGTCTGTCTGTATGTATGTATGTATGTATGTATGTATGTATGTATGTATGTATGTATGTATGTATGTATGTATGTATGTATGTATGTATGTATGTATGTATGTGTGTGTGTGTGTGTGTGTGTGTGCGTGCCTGCGTGCGTGCCTGCGTGCGTGCGTGCGTGTGTGTGCGCGCGTGTGCGCGTGTGCGCGCGTGTGTGCGTGCGTGCGTGTGTGTATGCGTGTGTGTGTATTCGCGTGCGCGTGCGCGCGCCTGCCTGCCTGCCTGCCTGCCTGCCTGCGTGCCTGCCTGCGTGCCTGCCTGCGTGCCTGCCTGCGTGCCTACCTGCCTGCGTGCCTGCCTGCCTGCCTGCCTCGTGCCTGCCTGCCTGCCTGCCTGCCTGCGTGCCTGCCTGCGTGCCTGCCTGCCTGTGTGCCTGCCTGCCTGCGTGCCTGCCTGCCTGCGTGCCTGCCTGTCTGCGTGCGTGCCTGCCTGCGTGCCTGCGTGCGTGTCTGCGTGCGTGCCTGCGTGCGTGCCTGCGTGCGTGTCTGCGTGCGTGTCTGCGTGCGTGTCTGTTTGTTTGTCTGTTTGCTTGTATGTCTGTTTGCTTGTATGTCTGTTTGCTTGTATGTCTGCTTGTATGTCTGCTTGTATGTCTGCTTGTATGTCTGTATATATGTTTGTCTGTATGTATGTAGTTTCTTTCAGGCAGACCGTGATGAGAGCTACGTAATGTAAAGGACTTGCTACATGAAGATGATGACTTCTGCATTGGACGGCCGTAGCAAATCGCCAAAGGCTTTCTATCTTCATAGCGCAAGCATGCTTCTTTTGTTCAGTTATCTCTTGATGTTTTTGAGTTACACCAGTTTGGCGAGCTTCCCCAATCTCGGGGAACTTGCGGAGGCAAAGCGGTCATCAGTAACATTCTACCTCAAAGGGAGCTAACTGTCTCTATCTAAATGAGTTTTAGTAACACGAAGAAAGAAAAAAAAAATCATTTACAGTAGAAGGGAACATAATGGTTCTTCGCCTTCCTGTAGTCCATGTCATGTGGCGTTGGAAGTCATGTCCTATCTACAGCCTTCTGCCTTGTGTACTTTCAGTCAACTCCGACACAAATGATCTTTCATGCCATGATGTAAAACTGTCCAGCATCTTCTGTCTGGCTGTCCCTCTGCCTCTTATTCCCCTCCAACTTTGCCACCGGCACGATGTTCTCAAGTTTTCTACATCTCATGGTATGACCAAAGAATGTAGATTGTATTGTCACACAGACATTTATTATACTTGAAAGATGTATCAGTTATTTCTATATCCCCAGATACAATATATTGCTACAGCGACACTGACAGGTATTTCCAGCAATAGCCACCATCCATTTAACACGTCAATGTAGTATTAATTATAATTTGAAGAGGTAAAGCGTAGTTGACATCTATTTTCTGCAGCTATTACTGGTTGGCTGTATTTGGAGCTATGAATCTGCGTTTCTGATTGTAACTTTATTACTTTATTGATTGTTTAAGAAGAAGAAAACTTTAGCAGCTTGTTATTCATTGAGTTGTTTATCCCAACTGAGGTTATGATAAGAAAAGTGTGAAAACACCAACACGTACAGGATATATTTATTTTTTTATGTACATTTATTTTGATTCGTTAATCCTACGCAGTTTAAAATTGCAAACTTGTTGATTAAATGGACATTTTTTTTTAAAATAAACAACTCAGATTTGTTATTTTTTTTTTTAGGGGAGAGGGGGTGATGGGGGAGTGTCCAATATTGCAATCTGTAGGATTTACATCTCAAGGATGAGAATCAAAGAGATACAGACCCTAGAAACCCCTTTTCAAACGCATAGTCATCTAGAACAGTTATAGAGGGTCACCAAAAAAAAGGTTACAACAAAGCTCGTAGTACAGTGTGGGTGGGTTTATTGTTGACTTTGCGACAGCCGTTTTATGCTCATTCCCTCAAAAGTTCCATATCGTCTGAGTAACCTTTTGGAGGCCGGGGAGGGGAGGGAGCTTTACCAATACAATTATGTTGTTTATACAATCAGAGGTTGTAATATGCAGCAGTCAAATTCTAGCTTGAAAGTGCTGCTATTACCTACCTCTGTCCCAGTCTTCGTTAGACTTTTGTTAACGCGTACAGGTCTTGCTAGTTACACTCGCCATCACCGAGGGCTGTGAATCCCATACCTTTTCATAGCGCAGTATAACACTATCGTCTGGAAAGACGGCAAGGTGCCAGTCAACTACAAACAAAAATACGCTC